CCCCCACCCCGCAGGGCCAGCCGGCCCGCGCGGCCCCTTACCTTGGCCTGGCATTTCCGATGACAGGAGAAGCTGCAGACTGCAAGAGGGCGAGACACAGAAAGAAAGTTTAGCCGCGAGGTATGAAATGGAAACTCCGGCGAAAGGCGAAATCTCCTCCCACCCCGCCCGCAATCGCGCTTGGGAGGGAAGGAGGGACGCAGAGAGGAGGGGGCGGAGGGGGCGGCTGCCGCAACTCCCCGGGGCCTGCGGGGCGGGAACGCCGGGAATTGCGGACCCGCTGGCCGGGTATGCGCTGAGCCCCCATTGCCAGCGCCCCTCCAGCTGGCCTGGGAAGGTGGGAGGAGCAGGGGGAAGGAAGGGGACTGAGTCCCCTCACTGGATCCTTGCCAGGGGCAGAGGTGGCCCGACCTATGCTCCAAGGAATAAGGTTGGGGGGGCGGGGGCTGTCTCCCGTTACACACACACCAGACAGGCAGCTGGCACCTGGGAGCCACCATCACACTCTCTCCCCCAGAGAGAGACACACAGACCCAATTCATGGTCCAGCAGAGAATCATGCAAACACTCTCACACATTTACACCCATACACACAGAGACACTCACACATAACCACTTACTCGCACACACTCAGCCATATATGAACTCAGCCATACACAAATACAGCCTCATGCACACACACCCATGCCCAAGAGGAACCTCTGACTGGGGAGCACCAACACAAACACAATTTCACGGGAGACCCTTAGAGTGCAGCCTGATACAGACATGTGGATAGATGTCTGCACAGTCTCACAAACTTCACATGCATGTGTGTGTTTCAAGTCTGAAAACACACACACACACACTCACTCAGGACTTGCTACTCCCTCCACTTACCAGAAGCTGGAATCAAATTTCCTAAGGGGTTCCCACAGCCTGGAATGTCCTAGCCCTGCATGCCCCACCCCCAGGGCCCTCCACCCAAGGACTCGGTGGTCCCCTCCCACCAGGTCCCACAGATGGGGTGAGGGGTCCCTGAGCTGAGTTCCTGCATTGAGCAGGCCTCCTGCAGAGGCATTGGGTTGGGGGCACTGGGATGGGGGACACTTTAAGGCTTCTGGTTTGTCTGTGGGAATGGGGGTTGGGCAGAAGCTGGGAGGCACACTGGGTGGATTCTGGGATGTGACCTTGGCCACTGGCCCTAGCCTGGGACCTTGTTCTTCCAGAACCTAGTCCTGGCCCCAGCTCAGTCCTGTGACTCAGCTGGTGCTGAGCAAGGCTTTCCTGACCCCACCAGCCAGCCAGCCAGCCAGCCAGCCCAGCTCAGGGACTTCTCCACCCCTGGCCACTCCACGCCTAGTTACCAGGACATACCCACCCCTGGCCACCCAAGTCAAGTCATGCCCATCTGGCTAGGCTTTCTGCTTCTCTCTCTCTCTCTCTCTCCCCCACCCCCACTACCCCAGGTGGCAACTCCCCTCCAGGAGGTGTTTCCACTCTGACAGCAGCAGCCTTCCCAGCCCCACCCCCTTGCCTTCGTTTCTGGCCTTGGAATGTGGAATTCAGAAAGCCTCAGGCCCTGTGGCCTGAGCTTGGAAGGCCCTTCCAGCCAGGCAGGTCCCCCACTAAGCCACTGCCTCCAGACAGAGGGACCGTTCCCCTTCCTCCGCTAATCAAACCCCAGGCCTTCCAGAATAAGTCCTGGGCCCTCCGCTGGAGACCTGGCTCACTGTTCCCTACCTTCCTGCAGAAGAAACCGGGGCCCCTCTATCACCAGAGTGCACATTTCCCACCACAACCTTGGTTCCTACAGTTGTAGGCTCCTTCAAGAGAGGGATCTCTCTCTCTCTCTCTCTCTCTCTCTCTCTCTCTCTCTCTCTCTCTCTCTCACACACACACACACACACACACACACACACACACCACAGTCCTCCCCCCAGCATCTCATATTCAACCACAAAAGCATCCCTAAGTGTCCGCTCCCACCTCCCAACCCGTCTAGACGCTAGGAGCACAACAGGAGCCAGGACTCCATCTTCCTCCAGCATCATACTTCATACTTCTGACAGTTCCCAATGCACTAAGCTTTTTCCTACTTCGAGGCATTTGCACCTGCTGTTCTGGTTGCCTGGAAAGCTCTCCCTCACCTCAGCTCCCCACTGTTCACCAAGTCAAACCTTTCTTCTACTTCTGGAATCCCTTGAAAGCCATCTCCTCAAAGTGGCCTTCCCTGACCAGCCCAATTACAGTCGGCTCCCCCATTATTCTTTCTCAGCAGCACCCTGATAATAGCCTTCTTTTTATTTATTTTTTTTTTAAGATTTTTTTTTTAAATTGGTGAATTGGGGGATGGGAACAGCACTGGGGAATTGGGGAAAGGGGAACACACAAGTTGCTGTCGTTTTGTTATTCAGTCTAGTTGTGGAGGACGTTGCTTCACTGGCCCAAGTTGGCACCATCATTGCGCTCTTCCCGGGCAAGGCAGATCAGTCGCCAGCTTGTGGACAGCTGCTCACGGCGGCTGCTGGCCGCTCACGCTAGCTGCCGGCTACACACGGTAGCTTATGGCAGCCCACTGCAGCAGGGGACTGCAGCCTATGCCGTCTGCCGTTGCCAGCGACCCACGGCAGCCCAGCCCCAGGTCGAGCTGCCATTCACCATCTTAGCTGCAGAGGGCAGTGTCACTGGCCCTCATATGTGGGATCCCAACGCACCACTCGGCCTGCCCAATAATTGGCTTCTTATCTGAAGTCATTTGGGGTCATTCTTGCTCACGTATGTAAAGTATATCTCCTCACATTAGACTCATGAGGGCAGGGAGTGTGCCTGTCTCACTCACACCATATCCCCAGTAGCTAGAACAGAGTCTGCTCCAGGCCCACAGCACCAAACAGCACCTTTGTGCAAATGAGATCAAGTCTCACCCTGTGGGCAGACCAGCCCCATGGACACACAGCTGAGTACAGTGTCTTTGTGGGAACGGCAAGAAAGTACCCTTTCTCCAGGTGGACTCAGCCATGTACCTGGGTATGTGGCGTGGTGAGCAAAGCACGGGCTGATTCCAGGGTGCTCTTGAGTAGGCGCCTTTGGCAGTGAATGGCCTGCATGACCACACAGGGCAGCCCGGCCTGTCACACAGTGGGCAGACACTCAACCAATGCCCTTGAATGGAGGGCAGATGGAGAAATCATTGGGCAATTGCAGGAGAATGAGCTGAGCGCTCCCTGCACGCTGGAACGCAGCTTGTCCTTGAAAGCTCTTCAGTGGGGAGTGAAGGAAGACCTCCCTCAGCAGTCGGAAGCTCAGCGCACTGAGCTCAAGTGGCAGACAAGGCCAACCCCTGGAGGATAGATTTTTACACCTTCAGAAGCACCGGCCCCCAAACCCCAGCAGGCCCTCTTGCCCTGGGTCCCCTCCAGGGAAGGTGCCTTCACTAACTTAGTCACCTTTCTCACGGGACATATTTCCTACTCTCTAATGTGGGTCTTCCTGCTGTAATTTGAAACTTGCCCATGCCATTCTGCTGACTTCTTATTTCCCAGATCAATGGCACATTCAAATGTGTTACAGAAAGGGAAACCGTGGCAGCCAGCCTCCAGGGTGGTCCTGGTGCTTCTCACCTCCTGGTATGCACACCCTTCTGTGGGCCCCTCCCACGGTGAACCCGGCTGGCTTATGTACCCAGTCAGATATTGCAGAAATGATGGTGTGTGATTTCTGAGGCTAAGTCATCAAAGGCATTGTGGCTTCAGCCTTGGTCTCTTGGATCACTCGTTCTGGAAGAAGCCAGTTACCATGGCGTGAGGACACTCAAGCAGCCCTATGGAGAGGGCCATGTGGTGAACAGCTGAGGCAGCCTGCCCCCAGCCAGCACCAATTCAGCTGGCAGAGGACAAAGCCCCCTGGAAGCAGATCCCCCAGCTGCAGTCGGGACCTCAGATGACTGCAGCCCTTACTGACATCTTGACTACAACCACCCCCTAAGTCACTCATGAATCCCTGACCCAGAGAAACTATGTGAAGTAATAATTTTGTATTTGTTTTAAACTGCTAAGTTTGGGGTAATTTGTTATGCAGCCACAGATAAGTCATGAAGAACCACGACACAGGATCCCTTTGAAAGCAAGAAGCCAAAAGGTGATGCTGGGAACTGAGACCAGAGGCCATCACTCCCTGGGGGCTCCTGTCTATAACTCCTTCTTTCCTTTCCTCACCCTACCAAGCTATTAGTCATCACCGCCCAGAAAGTAATTCCAACAACACTGTTGCATCTCAGCCTTCCTCCCCAACCCACCCCTGACTGCACCACTTCAGACCAAGTACCCTTCCATCAGCCTTATCCCCTTCAATCCACAGTCACAGGCCATCCTCAAGTGCAAACAGATCACATCACTCCCTGCTTGGAAGCCTCTGTCCAGCTCCTCAGCATACTTATAAGGCCCTGCATGGCCTGGTCTTGCTGCCACCTCCAGCTACTGCCCCACAGATATCTGTTCTTACCACACCAAACTCCCCAGACTTTGAGTCTGCAAGGAGCAGGTCTGGAATGATGAACAGCCTTCAAGGCCCAATTCAAAATGTCCCTCCCTGAAGAATCAAGCATTCAAATATGGTCCCTCCCTTCCCTGTGCTCCCAGAATCCTCAGGTCACACCCTTTGGAAAGCTCTTGTCTCCTGAAAGAACTAAGTCATCGTTTATGATGTGTTCTCCCTCATATCCAGCTGCTTCTTTTAGGTGCAGAGGGAGGTCCTGTTCCACTTTGCAGCTTTGTATCCTGCCCCTTCCCCTAGCTCAGAGTTCTGACATACAGGTGGGGCTCAATAAATGTGTAGTAAATTTAAACTGGTATGATTCTCCCCAGTGTAAACCCCTGGGACCAGGGCTGACATTCTGGGACAACAGAACAGACGCCAGTGAGGGTGGATGAGCCCCAGGCTTCAGCTCTAGCCCCTGCTGGGACAGGGCAAGTAGGGACCATGGTCAGTGCTTCCTGAGCGCTTCAGTGCAAACACCACTTATGTTCAAGCCTGGTAAGGGGAGGGGGAGACTAAGTGAGTTCATTGATCCTTCACCCACTTACCCATTGGTCCTGCTCT